CCCCTTTTCAGGACCAGAGTTATACAAATCACTTGTTCTTGTCACAATCCTGTAATCCAGTTATTGGCCATTAAGAGGTTAATCTTCTTTCAGTCTTTATTAATAAGACTTAATTTCAGGGCAAATTAATAGAACTTGAATACACAAAATTCCAAACTGTTCTCTAATATTATCTAAGCCCTTTGTTGAATGTTGTTTCTTAGTCAACAGCAAAAATTACAACATATTTAATGTGCATCGATAAACTAACAATAATATTTATTAAGATGAACAACACTACCCATAGCAATATAATATGTCTGACAAGCATTGAGCTCATTTTCAGAAAAGCCACAATTACAACTATTCACATTCCTAAGAGAATACAAACTTCTACAAAACTAATGCTGCATCCACATTCTGTTGTCTGAATAGCGACAGTAGGAATCTGGGACATCTTAAAAATTACCTTTAACTTTGGGAAAACATAAGTATGCAATGCACTGTTAGTCACACCCCTCAGGTGTGTGAGTAACTAGAAAAACCACTTCCCTATTTAAGCTAAATGCGTACGATTTAGGGTCTGGAGAAACTTGGACCTAGAATTCCTTACTTTTATAGCTGTGAGTCAGTACATGAGATTCAGTAAGTTCAAATATGTATATTTGAATAGCTATATATGTACCTCCCAAGGGAATATACCAGGTTGTTATCTCCTGCCTCTTAAATGAAACACCAAGCTTTATCCAAACTGATGGTATAGGCACTTCAGATGTCTTCATTTTTGCAGTATGTTATAGAGCACACTGCAAACACACTCTAGTCACCACAAGAACTTTATCTTAATGACGTGGTTTTTATGTATAGACAATGCTCCTTTAATCTCACTGTTCAATTTTCTTGCCATTTCTGCTGGCAGAGACTCGCACAGCCTCTCTACACACCTCTAGAAAAAGAATCTGGTTGTTTTAGCTTCACTTTTTACATGGTGTGTTTAATTTAGAATTTATAAACTCCTGCTATACAGAGCTTTCTGTTATTTCAGAAAGCGGAAGGACCGGCCATGCGCATTCAGCCGAAGAGGTGGAGAGGAGGAGGAAAGCTCCCCGTCCAGCGCTGGAGAAAGAGGTAAGTTTAACCCCTTCCTCCCCCCTCAGCGCCACGGGAGTGGGACCCTGAGGGTGGGGGCACCCTCAGGGCACTATAGTGCCAGGAAAACGAGTATGTTTTTGGCGGAAATCATGTTAGGACATTTACTGAAAGGTCTAAAACCAGAATATGGAGTATGTTTTCCTGGCACTATAGTGGTCCTTTAAGATTGAGTGAGAGCCTATTTACAATATTGGATATGGGAAATGTAGATAAATCATTTGGTAAGTTTTTCTAACAGCATTGAATCATTTGGAAAGCATAATTGGCTACTTCCCATCATGCATTATAGACGGTCTTAGAAATTGAGCTTTTGGGAGCCTTTTCAGAATGTTGCCATAAAGCCAACAAATTGCTTGAGCCAAATCCAATCTCATGCCTCTGGCATGCCTAACTCGTTACAGTATATTTATTGACACACAAGATTACCAAAAGTAAAGCAATCACTGTGTAATAAATAAAGCTACTAGTCAGTTGTTCAGATCATAATAGCCAAAGGGCATCATGTTCAAAGTAAAGTACAAAAACATATTTCACAACTAGAATTTCAGTAAAATGCATTTCCTGCTCGCAAAACCTGGGAAAAGATAACATTTCATAACAGACGTGTGACTGTTTCACACACATGTGAGTGTACTTTCTCACTATTTGAGAGAGGCAAACTTTCACTTCTTATTCATTTTTAAGATCTGTGTTATACTAGTGTTCTGAGCTTTTCCTCCTTAATGTCTTTTCAGTATCCTTAAGTTTTACTCTAAATGGAGATGGTAGAAGTGCATTAATTTCCATGTCGGAATGAATGGTCGTTTCTAAATAAAATGTTTTGCAGTGGTAACAGCTGACTGTGTATCATACACATGCATAAGAAGCATCTACCAGTTCTATGTGATTGTTGGTTAAAAGTTAAAGGGAAACTATAGTTCCAGGTAAACAAAGTTGTTTTCTTAGTACTATAGTGACCTACAATGCCCCCCAACCCTTGCTCTCCCCCCACCAGCCGAGCACTGAAAGGTTTAAAAACCCTCCTGTCACTTACCTGATTCGAGGGACATCAGTGCTGCGTCAGGCTCCGCCTCTGCTCCTCTTAGACTGACTTTATCCAGCAGGGAGGACCTAATGTGCAGGCGCAGCATTAGGCCTACCCCATAAGAAAGCATTGCTCAATGCTTTTCTATGGAGTTTTAGATAAAGGATGATGTCCTCATGCAGAGCGTGAGGACGTCCTGCATCATTTAGGAGACCAAAAGTCGTCTAATCACCCTGACGTGCCTCTAGTGGCTGTATGGTAGACAGCCACTAGAGGTGGAGGTATCCCTGCAAGGTAATTATTGCAGTTTATCAATAACTGCAATAATTACAATTGCAGGGTTAAGGGGACTGAGGTAGTGCACTCAGACAACTTCAATGAGCTGAAGTGGTCTGGGTGCCTATAGTGTCCCCTTAAACCTTAATCTCTATGGGCAGGTGCTTCTTGTTAACCCCTTAAGACCGGAGGGCGTACTATTACGCCCTATTTTAGGCGGCTCTAAATGCCGCCGGGCGTAATAGTACGCCCTCCGGTCTTTCTATACTTACCCGGTCGCTGGCGATCCCACGCCGGCGATCGCGGTTGGGCGGACTCCCAGGGAGCCCCCCGCCGCACGTCCGACCCCCTGGCAGCCCCCCCGGCCATGTGAGAGTGAGGTCCTTGCGAGGACCTCACAATCACATGGCCGGGATAGCTGCCTCCTGCATTGCCAGCAGGGGGGCTGCCTGTAATGACAGGTGGTCCCCTTGCTGGCTGGAAATCAAATCAAATTAAATTAAATTAATAAAAGTTAAACAAGTGTAAAAAAATATATATATATACTTAGATCATATATATAATATAATATATATATATGATCTAAGTATATATATACACCTATACATACACACATACACTGTCTAGGTATTAATATCAAATTACACGTAGACTGATACTGATTAAATATATATATAATTATTGTTATATATATATTTATATATAATATAAAAAAAATTAAATATGTAAATACGTTAAAAAATAAAATTAAAAAAAATAAAAATAATTAAAAAATATATAGATGTGTTTTATTTTGTTCTAACTGTATTGTGATATTAATATATATATATTTATATCAAAATACACATAGATGAAATAATATATATATCTATATACATAAATATATACGTATATATCACTATATATATACCTATATATAAATAAAAATATTTTTCAAAAAAAAAAATATATATATACATATATATTCACATACGTATATATGTACATATATTAATTCTACATATATATTTATATAATATTTTTACATAATTAGGTATCTTAATTAATTACAATTAGCGAGACCTGCCTGACAACCCATGCTGAAAGTAAAGGGAATTTAATTTGCTAGCACTATATTTAACCCTATAACTTTCCAAAACACCATAAAACCTGTACATGGGGGGTACTGTTCTACTCAGGAGACTTCACTGAACACAAATATTAGTGTTTCAAAACAGTAAAATGCATTACAACGATGATATCGCCAGTAAAAGTGAAGTTTTTTGCATTTTTCACGCACAAACAGCACTTACACAGACGATATTATTGCTGCGATACTTTTTACTGTTTTCAAACACAAATATTTGTGTTCAGCGAAGACTCCCGAGTACAGCAGTATCCCTCATGTACAGGTTTTATGGTGTTTTCAAAAGTTACAGCGTCAAATAAAAGGCTTGTGTTTCATTTTTTTCACATTAAAATTTGCCAGATTGGTTACGTTGCCTTTGAGACCCTATGGTAGCCCAAAAATGAAAATTACCCCTATGATGGCATACCATTTGCAGAGTAGACAACCCAAGGTATTGCAAACGGGGTATGTCCAGTCTTTTTTAGTAGCCACTTAGTCACAAACACTGGCCAAAATTGGCGTTTTTTGCATTTTTCACACACAAACAAATACTAACACTAACTTTGGCCAGTGTTTGTGACCAAATGACTACTAAAAAAGACTGGACATACCCCATTTGCAATACCTTAGGTTGTCTACTATTGCAAATGATATGCCATTATGGGTGTAAATTTCTTTCCTGGGCTACTATAAAGTCCCAAAGGCAACGTAACCAATCTGGCGAATTTCAATTTCAAATGTAACATGCTATATTTGACCCTGTAACTTCCCAAAATGCCATAAAACCTGTACATAGGGGGTACTGTTTTACACGTGAGACTTTGCTGAATACAAATATGTGTATTTTATTGCAGTAAAAGCAAACAGTATTATGACATTGACCGTTAAAATGTCATGTAGAACTAAAAAAAAAATCAAAAAAATCTTATTTTCTCCCATTTTTTTCATATTAAATTATGTTTCATAGCTTAATATTTGATATTAAATGAAAGCCCTGTTTCCCCTGAATAAAATGATATATAATAAGGGTGGGTGTATTTAATATGAAAGAGGTGAATTACAGTTGGACAGACATGTAGCGCAAATGCCAGGTTTTGTTTACATTTTGTTTCGTTCACAACGTGTACATTTGGCTCCGTCCTTAAGGGGTTAATAATATTATTATTATTGATATTGATATTTATATATAACGCTAACTTATTCTGGAGCTCTTTAATATTATAAAGTGGGGAAATTTAACAGTAAATACGACAATTACAAAATATAACCGGAACAATAGGTTCATGAGGGCCCTGCCATAGACCTGACAACTTTAGTTAGGTAGGCCTCTTAGTAGAAGATTCAGGGAAATGGGAAAGGTCAAACATGGGGAAATATCTGTGATATAATTAGTGTCACATTTGTGCCTCTTGGTCCTGCTTGACTTGGTGTGCCTGAAAACAGCCACCAGCTTGTATGCCTTTAGCAGAACGTTGGGGCTGTAGAGTAGCCAGAAGGCGTCGGTTCATGCTCATCTACAGTTTCAGCAATGCCCCCAATTTTTAAGTTATTGTGGCACCGTGTATCTTCCAACATATCCATTCTGACCAGCATGGTTTTTTGGGATGCCTGTAGTTGTTGAATCAGATCCTTGTTGCCTGTCTGTTGTTGAGCTATAGAGGAGACATTGTCCTCATTTGCCCACACTAGGTCAGCATTAAAAAAGGCACGGATGTTATTCATTTGGGCCTTGATGTCTCCCTTAGTGCCTAGAGCTGTCACATCTTGCTTAAGTTGTGAAGTGATTAGACCCTCTGTATGAGTGATGTCGTCAGGGGCATCAAGGATTTCTTCCTTGGAAGAGGAATAGTGAGAGTCTTGCGGCACCACCATTGAAGGCATAGGCCAGGCTGCAGTGGGTCGCTGATGCTGCGGGAATCCCCAAATCAGTGTAGGTAAATGCCATAAAGAAGGTATAGGCAGCGTGTGTAGCAATGTCCAAGCCACTCCCCGCCCCCATTTCCATAAATCTGGAAACTTTATAAACAGAGGTGGACCCTGAACATAGTGTATTAGATCTGTTCCCTTTATGGCTAGCAAGTCAGCACCAAAATGTGTAAATGTTTATTTCTTTTTTGGCCTGATTATGTGTGATTTCTATGTTGTTTCTATATTTAGTTTTTTTGAAATACTTTTTCTCTAACTAATAACACATTGCTTTTTATGATCAGCTGAATTATGTCAAGTTGGTTATAGGTCAATTTAAATTACATTGTAAAAGCGAACATTATTGACTGATTCAGCTCAGACATAACCTATAATGCTTTTTCATTTTTTTATGACATGTACATGAATTAGTTTTAGGAACAGTCCAGATGCCTTGCATGTACAAATATATCTCACAGCTTTCCGAGGGAAAGTAAGTACAGTATCTCTGAGTAGCCTTATTCATGAAAAACAAAAACAAAGCCTAACGGAGCTCGCTGTAATAGCTTCATTCATGTTTACCCATTTATTAGTAACAAAATCTGCTATGTGCTTGTTTGACAGGAAACCTGACAACTGAACTTCATGTAATAAACCACTGACTAAGATATATGCAGAGCCATGTTGTATTAATCCATATGTTTTTATTCATATGAATTGCTTGTGTTTGCAGCCTGTCTATCCATGTTGCTTGATTTCAAAAATGGCCGGCTTTAACCCTCCGTGTTTTGGCTGTGTGCTAGGTTCCTGAAATGACAATGAGAAACTCATCCAACAAACATTACACTAGGAAATAAATCTAAAATACTTTATCTCAACAAACTGTTATTGGAAATGTGCAGACTGAGTTTGTGTGTGTCATGCCCTATTCATAATGTGCCTGCATTGTTGAATTTTGTGTTTTCCTTCTCAATTCCTTCCAGACCACAAATAAATAAATTTACTGCTTATCAACATCGTGATAATGTGAAGGGAAAAGTGTTACCTTTTCTTTCATTTATCCTGATGCAGATCTTAGTTTAAAATAACAGTGTTGCTGCTGAAATTACTTCCAGGTCTTGAGAATTTAATCAAGAAAGTCCTTGGTAGGTATAAATTTGTAGCTGCAAACCCTAATTCAGCTGGTAATTCATCATGTCATTGTTGGAATTGATGATCTGGTCAGAGATCGACCTCGGTGGACACGTAATGAAAGACCAGAAGGGACGTGGAGGTCAGATCTATTTTCATGTACCTTCTCTTTCTTACTACAATATAGTATCAGAGCTCTTGCTTATTTCCATACTTTCTAGAATCTTGAATTGGAACTTTCATCACACTACAGCTCTATCATTCCAGTCTTGCTATGGTCTTACCACTGGGCAATATTAACAATATTATCTTGATTTGATGAATGTTTTGTGTTGGTATTTTTTTATTTTGGGTGGGTGGTTGTTTTTTTCCTTATATTTTTTTATTGAAAAGGAGAAGTTGATATTTGAAACATGCTGCATGTGCTGCGAGAAACAAAACAATCTCAGACATTTTTGTATAAATAAATTTGTCTAGTTGTGAGTAGTGTTAATGAGCACAATTATCCTTCACTAAAAAAAATGTTTCAGTATTTAGCAAGAGCTTCTCACGTCAAGATATATTTTTTGACCATAGCAATGTTATGTGGCTCTCAAAAAAGAGGAACTACAATGTAAAATTCTGTAAAATGAAAAAAAAAAAAAAAGTCTGACTGAAAGTCTACTAATATGTAGTTGACCCTTACTATTTCATGGGCTTCTTAATAATATAGTATCATTCTAATAAGAGTTTCAGGCGAGTTGCCTTTCTGCCCTTTATCATTTTTGCTGGCAAAAATGCATTTTATTTTCTGATTCTTTATCCTTTCCAGGAAAGTGTTTTGTTAAAATTGTGGGGCAGTCCCGTGGGCATGGTTTTATATATATATATATATATATATATATATATATATATATATATATATATATATATAAGGTAATATAAAAAACTGACTATGCAATTATGCCACTATGTATTTATACGTGTTCTTCTGTCAGAAATACCCTTTTCATAGACAGTTGAATCGATTTACAAAAAATATTTTGCACTTATTGTCATTATTTTATACCTAAAACATGCTGGTTGCATATCCTAGATAATCTGAGCTATCTCTTTTTCCATTCTTCATCCCTGATTTACAAGCTTTGAGTTTAAATTATTTAGGTTCACAAGATGTCATTATTGACAAGAGATCTAGAACCCAGGTAGCACTAGCAGCAACCTAGCACCTTACTCTAGATCAAGCATGTCAAAGTCTGGATCGGGCCACATAAATAAGGTTTAAGTTTATGTGGGCCGCAAAAAAAAACTACTGTATATTTTCATAGAAACGTAGGTTTATTTTAAAAAGTTCTACTAAACTCTACTAAACTACAGCACCTCCCTCTACTAAACCCCAGCCCCTCTCTACCACCCTGTGCCAAATCTGATCCACCCGCTGACACACATGCATATTCACTGACAGACACACACACACACTCACTGACAGACACACAAACACATACAGATACACACATACTCACTAACAGACAGACACACACACATACATGCTCACTGACAGACAAACACACTGACACACACACACAGACACACACACACACTCACTGACATACTCATAGACACACACATACAGACAGACACACACATGCTCACAGACAGACACACACATACTCACAGACAGACAGACAGACACACATACTCACAGGCAGACACACACACATACTCACAGACAGACACACACACTGACACACATACACACATGCTCACAGACACACATACTCACTGACAGACACACACACACACACACACACTCACTGACAGACACACTGACAGACACACACACATACTCACTGACAGACACACACTGACACACACACACTGACAGACACACCCACAGCTGCACACACATACTTTTCATTATTGCTCCTTACCCCCCAATGGGGGGCATCTGCCAGAGGTCTTTCCAGCTCCTCACTGCTCCCTCGCGCGGTTTAGTGATGCCGGGTGCTGGAATATGACGTCGCCAATATGGTGAAAGCAGGTGCTTAGTCTGCTATAACACCAGCATGTACTCGTGGCTCGCCGGGAGTTTGACATGCTTGCTCTAGATAGAACTTATAAATTAGTAGGAATTTGTGGCTTTTACTTACAGAGGTTTCTGCTCAGAGACACCTTTCCTATCTTGTCAAAACCCACAAAGTAAAAATGAGGTAATTGGAAACTCACCCCTGAGTATGAGATGAAATCAGGCCAAGTAAAATATGTGTAGGAGCACAAACCCTTTAAAATTATACTGAGGAGGTCTAAAGTACCATTTACTTGTATTGGATTATGTGTTAATGTTAGTCTTCATTATAGTGTACTCTCCCAGTCGTCAAGATTATATATTGTACAGTGACACTTGCCAGCTGTGTTAGAATATGTACGTCTTTTTATGCTGTATACCATAAAGTATGTTATGTGTTTCTAAATTGCATTTAGTGCAACTCTTTTTGTAACATGGCTTATGGGCAAAACATATGCAGGATCTGTCAACAATCTATAAGTATGCTGTACTTGTTTAACATTGGATATGCCGCTCTTTGGGTTTACATCACTTTTAGAGTATTGTATAGTCAAAATATCAAAGGGTTTAGCAAAGAGAGACTCATTCAGCTTGCTGGTACAATCCAAATGCTTCCTGGGGACTAGATGTCTATTACCCATTTTTATGGCACTCATTTTATTAACCTCGGATGGATGAAAAGGCTCAGTTAACATTGACAGGAATGCAGCCCGTGACTCTAAGATACATAGCAGACCCTGTTACTAATAAATGGGTAAACATGAATGAAGTTATCAGTGCAAGCTCCATTAACCTTAGTTTTTGTTTTTCATGAATAAAGCTACTCACAAATACTGTACTCTAAGATACTGCGGCTGGACCTCTGTTTGCTGAGCTATCTCACCACGTATATGGTTATGTTAATTGAGTTAAAGGGTCCAGGTTGTTAATTCCAGGAAAGACTGATATTTTGTCAAACCACTCAAACAGTTTGACAGTGAGGGAGTGGGGATTTTGACATTGGAGGACAGTGGGGGAGTGGCATTCAACCAGTCAACCTGGTCCCTACCGCCCACTAGTGGGCAGTTTGGGACTTTAGATGGGTGGTGGTGGGTTCTGCAGAAAATGCCCGATGGGCCTCGATGACCATAGACCAAGGCAGACAGAAAAGATCATTTAATCTCCCTTGCTGACCCATGCAAAGCCAGCCTTGCTGTTATCCCTCTCGAGCTGGTGAGGAGATCAAAGGGTCTCCCACGAGCAGACTGGTCGGAGTTTTATCACGCGTTACCATGTCAACGCTCCGATACAGTGCTGTGCTCGCAGAAGGACAGCAAAGTCAGCCTGCAGCCAGAGGAGCTGCAGGCTAAAATGAACATGCCACCACTGGACAACCAGGGTTGGCAGCATTATATCCCATCCCCTCTCCCTGGTAAAAGGGTAAGAAGGGGGCAGGGGGAGACATTAAGATAGATTTTCACATTTCACCGAGCTACACACAGCATAGACCCTATGCACCCTTCACACATAAACACACACTACACCCCTCACACACACACACTGCCCCCTGACACACACAGTGCACCCCTCACACACTGCCCCCTCACACACGCACACATACTACCCCTTCACACACACACACACACACACACACTGCCCCCTTTCACTCACACACACACACTGGCCCTTCACACACACATACACTGCCCCCTCACACACACACTGCCCCCTCTCTCACACACACACCCTTCACACACACAGCACCCACCCTTCACACACACAGAAAAAAATGTAGAATAGAAAAAAGGAAAAA